TCCACCACAAAATGTCGTTCGGTTTGCTTCGTTTCCAATCTTTGGAACCACTGGTTCTGTTGCCTGTCTGTCGTTCAACTGGAACTCATGTTATCTTACTATTCTTAACTTTTTACTCCTACCCTTTATATTTATGTAGTTGTCTGTCTATGACTGTTATTGTTACTGTGGACCCGATGGTGTTCGTAACAAAGTTTAATGATGATGATGATGATATTCCTAGACAAGAGGCTAAACTAGGGCTGGACGATGTAGAAAAACAGTATATCGATAACAATTTTTTTGTCTCTCTCTCTCTCTCTCTCTCTCTCTCTCTCTCTCTCTCTCTCTCTCTCTGTCTCTCTCTCTCTCTCTCTCTCTGTCTCTCTCTCTCTCTCTCTCTCTCTCTCTCTGTCTCTCTCTCTCTCTCTCTCTCTCTCTCTCTCTCTGTATACACACATTTGCAGAGGTCAGATCAAACTTGCTGACTTTGGTTTGGCTCGCCTTTATAATTCTGATGAAAGGTAAGACAGCAGATGAGTCTTTGTTTACTAAGATCTGGTGTTTATTGAATGACATGAACTTGTTAAATACTGTGATTCTCCAGCAGATGGAGCTGTGTTTTTGTTTCTTACATGATGTTTAAATATGAGGAGATTTAGAATTTGTTCCACCTCTAACCCTCCCTTTCCTTTAGTCGACCGTACACCAACAAGGTGATCACACTGTGGTACCGGCCCCCTGAACTCCTGCTGGGTGAGGAGAGATATTCTCCAGCCATCGATGTTTGGAGCTGTGGGTGAGTCTGAAAACATCGGGATGTTGGTGGAAGTCCTGTTGCGTTCCAGTTGTCCTCAGAACTCGAAATTTCCAAACAGGAAACCACGCAACAGGCTTGCTTTGCGTTCCAGTTTTCAACTAGGAAAAAATGGATGCCACCAGTGTTGAGTACTAAAAGAACTTCTAACAAGTATTCTTCACACCTAAATAATAGTGACACACATGCCCTTCGACAGTTGTCACATACAACCAGAAAAACATTACAAATCAAATGTAAAAATATAAATGCCAAGAAAAGTAAAACCATAATCACCGGTTGGTTATGGCGGCAACGTAACTATTGACAACAACAATAAACAACTACTCCCGTGCTGTTAAATAGCAAAAAGAGAGAAAACAGAACATATAAATAAGAAAAAAATAAAGACGACAACTACTTCCTGGTAGCACTGGGCACAGCCATCTTTGAAATTTGGGATATCAGGGTCCTCTGAAACCTACAAGATCGCAGCTTGGAATTATGAGTACATTGCGTCATTTCCAGCTAACTTGTCTCAGAAAAATGAGTTCATAGGACAGCACCCTAAAATTTCAGCTGGATTCTGACTAACTCCAGGAACTATTTTAGTGATTCCATGAATGTTTCCCGGCTCTGGTTCCTCCTCGGAATGCGCGTAGGTGGGATTGAGGAGCTCCTCAAAGTATTCTTTCCACCGTCCGACTACAGCCACAGTTGACGTCAGCAGCTCCCCATCCCCACTGTAAACAGTATGAGCGAGTTGCTGCCTTCCTCTCCTGAGGCGCCGGGCAGTTTGCCAAAACCTCTTTGGAGCCGATCAATAGTCTTTCTCCATGGCCTCACCAAACTCCTCCCACGCCCGAGATTTTGCCTCGGCAACTGCCACTGCTGCACCCCGCTTGGCTATCCGGTACCTGTCTGCTGCCTCCGGAGACCCACAGACCAGCCACGCCCTGTAGGCCTCCTTCTTCAGCCTGACGGCTCCCCGAACCTATCTGATCCAACTCACCACCAGGTGGTGATCAGTTGACAGCTCCGCTCCTCTCTTCACTCGGGTGTCCAAAACACATGGCCACAGGTCAGATGATATGACTACAAAGTCTATCATCGACCTGCGACCTAGGCTGCCCTGGTACCAAGTGTACCGATGGGCATCCTTATGTTCGAACATGGTGTTCGTTATGGCCAAACAGCAGCTTGCACAGAAGTCCAATAACGAAACACCACTCGAGTTCAGATCAGGCGGGCCGTTCCTCCCAATCACACCCCTCCAGGTCAAGCTGTCATTGCCCACGTGAGCATTGAAGTCCCCCAGCAGGACAATGGAGTCCCCTGATAGAGCACTATCTAGCACTCGTCCCAGGGACTCCAAAAAGGGTGGGTACTCTGAACTGATATTTGGTCCATAAGCACAAACAACAGTCAGGACCCGTTCCCCGACCCGAAGGCGCAGGGAAGCTACCCTCTCGTCCCCCGGGGTAAACCCCAACACACAGGCAGAGAGTCTTGGGGCTAACAAAAAGCCAACCCCAGCCCTCCGCCTCTCACCCGGAGCAACTCCAGCAAAGGAGAGTGTCCAACCCCTCTCAAGGACTTGGGTTCCAGAGCCAATGCTATGTGTCGAGGTGAGTCCGACTATATCTAGCCGGTACCGCTCAACCTCTGCCACAAGCTCCTGCTCCTTCCCCGCCAGCAAGGTGACGTTCCATGTCCCAAAATCCAGTTCCCTTGTCCGGGGATCGGACCGCCAATTCTCCCGCCTCGGTCTGCCACCCGATCCACACTGCACCGGATCCTTCATGTTCCTCCTGCGGGTGGTGGGTCCACAACTGTGGACCCACCACCCGCAGGAGAACTGTGGATTAAGGTGCAATATGTAAGAATGATATTAGAGTGACATCTTGTGGTAAAATTTGGGTACTGCAGTCCATTTTACAAACACAAATATCACTTTCTCACTGCTGTTCAGGGAGTTTCCTGGCTGTTGCCAGTTACCCATCAGCTCCTGAAGATTCTAATAGCTGAATGATGTTCATGTATTTATAGTTGTGCCATCTAAGGGGCTCAACACACGGAGGCGACAAACGACCGCGATCAGCGAAATTCGTCGCTGTCGCTTTTATTACCTGACACACGGGAGGCGACCCGCGGCAGCGGCCAGCGGCAAAGCCGTCTACGCGTTCTGTTCCATGGTGAAATTGAAACTTCCGTTGTTTTGTTTGGCTGTGTCAGGTTGGAGGGAATTAAGGTTATTTAAGCAGTTCAGAGTTAATAAAGCGGTAGATATGATGTTTCACAAGGTGCTGCTAGAGTTATGTGAAATCTTACTTCTGATTTTACTATAAAACATAATAATAATCAACTTCTCCTCCATGTTTGCTCGGAGATGTGCGGAGCATCCTGTCCGCTCATTGGCCAGTGAATGAAACCTCCGTTGATTGGTCCTCGCCCGAGCGACAGCGATGAAAAGTTGAAAATATTTCAACTTTCTGGGATCGCGTCGCTGGGTCGCCTGTGCACGACACGTGCACGAGCGCAAAATTTCACACGCACGTTTTTTGTGTTTCGCTTAGTTGGAGGGAGACCCGCGATTATCGCTTTGTCGCGCGTCTCATTGAAAATGAATGGAGGAGAGGCGATGTCGCCTCCCGCGTGTCGAGCCCACAAAGCTTTGCAGCAAGGGTGGGAGGTGTTCTCAGTAAAATGAAACCAACAAAACAAAAAAGTGTCGTCCATTATTTCACCTTCACGATGAATCCAAAGCAGCTTTTTTCATCAAAATGTATTGCAGGGAGCAGTTTCCTGTTGAGCTAATAGTTTAACTTTAATAAAACATTTAAACTGGGCATCGTTCCTCCAGGACTGAACATCCTCAGACCAATTTTCTTGTTTTTGTTCAGGTGTATTCTTGGAGAGCTCTTCACTAAGAAACCCATTTTCCAGGCTAACCAGGAGCTTCTGCAGCTGGAGCTCATCAGGTACAGAACATCAGTCGTCTTTTAGACGCCTGGACAGACGAGACACGCAGAGCTGGTTTAGTTACTCATCTATTACCTGTCATTTTTCTCTTAGCCTTCTATTCCAGGTTTCTCCATCTTAATCTTTTAATTTCTTGCAGCCGTCTGTGTGGAAGTCCCTGTCCCGCGGCCTGGCCCGATGTCATCAAACTTCCCCTCTTCAACACGATGAAACCCAAGAAGCAGTACAGGCGGCGGCTACGAGAGGAGTTTGCCTTGTACGTTTCCCTGCAGACGCTTTCTAGGAAAAGCAATCGGCTGTTTTCTGGATCTTTGAGTAAAATATTTCTTTAACTGTCTGCACAGTTTGCCTTCTCCAGCCCTGGACTTGCTGGACAGAATGCTGACCCTTGACCCTTCACGCCGCTGCACATCAGAGCAAGCTCTTTTCAGTGACTTTCTGAGTGATGTAGACCCCAACAGGATGCCTCCACCCGAGTCAGTTAATTTATTATGCCTTAGAAATGTCTAAATATAAAACCTGGTTAGGTCAAAGCCTTGTTTTATCTGGCTTTGACCTAACCAGGTCACAGCCAGTCTGAGCTCCGCTAACTTTGAGCTCCGCTCTGTGTCCAGCCTTCCTCATCATCAGGACTGTCACGAACTGTGGATTAAAAAGAAAAGACGTGCACGTCAGAGTGGGGTGCCCGAGGATGTGCCTGTGCCCAAAGTGCCCCGTAAAGACACGGCTGGGACCTCAAGTGGAGAGAACAGCCGACCCAAGAGCAGCCCGACCGCACCCCCGCCCCCTCCTTCAGGGAAACCCCCCTCAACGGCCAAATTGGAGAGCGAGTTGTCAGGTGATGAAAAGTACAAAGCCAGAACAACAATTCAAACAGGAAACGCCCAGATCGTCTCTTTTGCTCGTCACGTTTAAGGTTATAACGTTTTTATTTGAATCATCTGCTTTCAGGTCTTGGAGCAGCTGCGGAGCAGCTGAACCAGACCGAGCTGGCTGTCCTGCTGAACCTGCTCCAGGGGCAGACTGAGCTCACTCCCACCCAGGTGGCCGAGCTCCTGAACCTGCCCAACCAAGAGACTCTCAGCCAGTTGCTGTCTGCCCTTAATGAGACCTCTGACCACCAGGGAGCACCAGAGGACCAGACCCAGCCTCCCGCGCCTCCTGCTGCTGCTTCCCAGCCCCCAGAGCCCCCTCCTGAACCCCGGGAGCCCTCACCCACACCTGGAGACCCTCCTCTCAGTCAGGAAGATCAGGCCAGCCTGCTGGCTCTCATTTTGGGCCAAATCATTAAACCCCAACCCGAGGAGCAAAACGACGAGAGCAATGGCATTCAGTCAGAGGAGGCGCTGACACGCGGTTCGTCCGCTTCTACTACTGATTCCAAGTCTGGGTTTAGTTTTTAGAGGAGGATGTCTGGAGCTGCAGGGAAATGTAAAAATATGGAGAGGCAGAGGGGTTTTCAAATACAAGATTCCTATTTACCTTAGATTTTAAACCTGATGAAATCTGCAAATGACCAATAATCTACATTAATCTGGCTGTTAGACAAGCCCCGCCCTGACACACACCCTCCCCTCTCAGCACCTGAATGAAACACTGGTGTCACGAGGCTGTCGTGTGACGCTGGTAACCCAGTGAACGTCTGCTCGTGGACGCCGCCGGTGCGCTAACGGCTCACTCCGTTGTCCCCATGCTTCTCCTTTTTGTTTCTTTCTCAGTCTTTGTTTCTGTCTGCTTCATCGTTTCCACGTGTTTCTCTTCCTCACTCCATCTTCATCACTAAGGAGGTGCCGAGGACTCTCCACACAGAGATGTTGTCTGTAATGTCAGCCTTTTCATGAAGAATAAATTATCAAATGGAAATAAATATTTTGGAATCTGTAGATCTCACCTGCATGTGTTTATTTTAACTTTGTCACCTTGTGTTTAGGTTTTTTATTTGATCCTCTGGGTCAGACGCTGATAGAATCACTCAGGAGCAGAAACGGACCCGGGGCGTTTATATTAATGAGTCCATCATGCTACACACACTCACGAGAAATAAAGCATGAAACATGTCTATTTATAGTAACACACATGAAATTATTCCAGAATTTTTGTCTTTTTATTTTTTTTTTCTGGAATCTAGCTTTACTTACTCTCCCACGCACACACACACTCATACACACACAATAAGTTATTTTATTGGTCACTAAATATTGTTTTTCATTATTAATAATCTGCAAATATACTAATAATGATCAAACATAATATCATAAAAGGCGCCGCTGCGTAACATCCAGACTGACTTTCATTTATGAGATTATTTATTTTAGCTACATTTTGGTGAGTTTAGGATTATTCGTGTTGTCATTTCATGTCAAACATCTGAAGTCATCTGAACAAGGCCTGCAAGGTGTCCCTTTGATGTCTAAACCTTTGTCTTACTTTGGTCCATCAGATGGTGCCGTGCCCAAAAGGAAGCAGCTCGTGTCCACCCATCCGTGTGGGGATCAGCGTCCCCCATCTCCGCCCGGGTCTCCTTCTTCAGCTTCTCTTGTCGGGAGCTCCCAACCAGCCGAGTCAGAACCTCGGCCGGGCCAGGACATCAGTCCTGCCGTGGCTGCTGCTTTGCTCCAGCTCATCTCTCAGCAGGACCTGGAAGCTGCGGCCTCCGAGCAAAGCAAGGACACCTCCCCAGATGAAGATGCTTCTGGTCAAGGAGAACCTCCTCCCTGCTGGCCTTCAGACTCTGCTAAACCTCCGGCTGCAGCCGAGACTCCAAAGGGACTGGTGACTGCTGCTTCTGCCTCGTCGGCCAAGTTCCCAAAAGACCAGGACCTTCGTTTTTCCCATGGAGCTGCTCGCTGAAGCTCCGTATGCTGGTGAGTTCAACTGTCGTGGGACAGCTCCAGCAGCCCAGGCCTGAAGGGAAAGGCAGATGGAGGACGCAGAGGGACACCTACAGAACTGGCTGGACCAAGAGCAGGTAGTGAAAGTCAGATCAAAGATTCCGAAAGTGAATGTTTAAATGAGATGTTTGAATCTCTCCTAATGAAGCCAGCTGTTCTGTTGCATTGTGGGAATGTTTTCAGATGGGCACATCTGTCAGAGACGCTCACCTCCTTCAAATCTTTGCTCTCTCCTGGACTCTGAAGGGTCTGGACATGAATGAATTGCAGCTTTAGATCTGAGGGCTATGCAACTGATCAGTTCCGAAACGATCCCCCATTAAATGAAAGATGGTCTCGTTTACCGTGAGATTACGAAAAGTTTTCGGTTCGTTTTTGAAGCCAGCCCTGATTTTCAGCCTTGACGCCACCGAATGGCCTCGGGTTCAGACCTGAGCTCTGCAGGTGGGGTGATTCTCTAACGGTGAGAGCAGCAAAGCCTTTGTGTTGTGACGAGCCTGTAGTTCTTATGTTTCTGTCTCAAATGGATTAAACCCACGCTGATGGACCACTCTGTAACACACCTGCTCTTCTAACTGAAGTAGGAATCTAGAAAAATACACTCAGACGTTTGTTTTAAATTGCTCTACATGCTTTGCAGAAAAATTCTTTTCCTTCGGTATTTTCTTTCATTATTTTCTATATAAATAAAATGTGACCAGGCTTTAAAAATAACGGCCAGTTTTTCTGTTTCTCTCTTTTTTTTTTTTGATGTGGAAAAAGAGGAAAAATATGTATAAAAAATATCAGAAACCTTTATAATATGTGTTTACTTGGCTTGGTTCATTAAAGGAAGTCATGTGACCAGCTGAATTGTTCTCCTTCCATATCTGGATGCTTCTCTAAAGCGGCCACTAGATGGTAGACGTTTCCTCGGGCTGGTGGCAAAGACAAAAAAAAATAAAAACTGGAGTTTCTAATGTAACAAAAGTGATTTAAATGCCACAAATAACTAAATAAGGCATTTAGAAGCATCTGAAATGTATAAAATAAACATAATTACAATCTAGAAAAATGCCATAAAATGCTGATCTGAGACATTTTTGAAGATTATGCTAATTTATTTGATCTAATGTAGTTGGCGCTGCTCTAAGTATTGTGTTGGGAAGTATTTCCACCCTCAGATTTCTACTAGTTTTGCTTTTGGCACATTCAGAGGAAATTAACTCCATTATCAGACAAAGATAGTTGAATACAAAATGTGCTTTTCTGAATTTTCAATCAATTAGTAACATCCCCCCCCCCCAAATACTTGACAATGTCTATGAACCATATTATTAGGTTTAGTTTCTGCAGCCTCACCCAGGCCTGACTCCTACCAGACCTACAGAAGTAACGATACAGCCAGCCTGACAACATGAAGATGGTGGAGTAATGTGGGCTAAATAAATTGCTTTAAAAGCTATTTATTTCTATTCTCATTACTTGTGACCAATAGCTGGAGTACTCTAGTAATTATAGAATATCACCTTGCTTGGTTTTAGGATGAGTAATTAGAAGGTTCTAGGATTCTTTTAATTATTATAAGGAATCGTTCACACTTCGTTTATGATTCAAGAACCAGTCAGTGTTTGCAAACAAATAAGAATTTATTTTACAAACAGTTAAGACTTGACAAATGGTTTAAACTATTATCCTGTGAGTGGATGGAACTAAAAGATGGGTGTCTGAAAACTATGTGTGAATACGAGATGATGAATCAGAATCTCCGTGTCTTCAGAGAGGTGCCTTCTGGATAAAAGAATTTGGTTTGCAGATAAGCTATAAGCTGTTAATTATCAAACTGCGTACAGACGCTATCTGTGTGTCTACATTACCGTAGAGGCACCCTCTTGGTGGGTCCGAAAGTCAGAGTGGCCGGATGGCCGATGGCACCGGAGGGCTGTAGAGTACAGAGGTGCCGTCCTTTCAGTCCTAGAGATGTGTCTCGGGTCGAAACAGATGGATGGAAACCACGCGTCTTAAAATAACTCTGAACGAGTTTTGCAAAATCAGCTTTGTTCTGCAGGAAAACTGTCTTGTTGTTCAGCTTTGCAGGTGCAAAAAGCTTTAAGGTTTAGACAGCGTGTCAAAATCTTTCTGAGCTAGAGGTCTGCTAAGAGATGGCCAGTCTCCAGCTTTCTCTCCCGACTGCCGAGTAAGCAGAGCGGCTGGTTTATACGCCCACTGTTACCTATTACCAGGCTTACCAAGAAACACGCTCTGAGACGCAGAGTCTCTGAGTCTAGGGACAAGGTCAGTTATGTGTCATGCGTTCTTAATTTTAACCTTACTTCTTGTCTGATGTAATGATGACCTCATCCTGTAAACATTACTATAACATTGAATACAGATTCATGAACATTTCATTGCTTAATTATACATGGCAATATGTAATGATTTTAATCATAAAATCTTCTTTCTTAAATGATTATTTTGAATTATAAAATGATTACTTTATTAAATCTTCTTTCTTCTGGGAATAAAGATTTATCTAAAACAGTTCTCTTGTGAAGGGCCTTGGCTGCCACTGTTCATCTTTATTATCTGATGAAGCTGCGCTCAGCTGATGAAGTCATCTGATTAAAATGCTGAGTTGTGCAGACTCACAGACTCCTGACAAGGGAAGATACAGCAGCACATGTAGTAGCCAGGGTTGTTTGCTCTGGCTGCGTATGACCTGTGGGATCTTTAAAATCAGTCCATTTCATGACGTTACAAAGGCTAAAAGACCTCAAAAAGCAACACAAGCCCAGTGTTAACAATATACAAGATCAACCCAGAAAAAAACATCCAAAGCTCTGCAGGCCTCAGTTATGGTTAGTGTCAGCGGTCATGCTTCAACAGTAAGACAGACTCTAGGACCAAAACGGACTCAATGGCAGAATTCCTAGAACAAAACTTGAAGTTCTTTAAGGGCCTTTGTTTGGTCCTTCATGCTGCTCTAATCAGACTAAAATGACACAATTCTGCAAAGACAAATGCAACAAAATTCCCCCCCAGTCATGAGAGACTCATTACCAGTTATCACAAACGGTTGATTGTGTTCGTTTCCTCCGGAGGTGTTTAAGGTTTAGGGGTTGGTTACTTCTTCAAAAAGGACCAGGTGGTTTTGGAAAGCTTTGATCCTTTAATAAATGAGTCGATGCTTTAAAAGTTGTCCTTTGTTTCTACTCTTGTTTTCTTTGTCTTAGACTGAAACAAGTTTTCGGATCTGAAACATTCAAGAGACAAGGAAGGAGTCTGTAAAGGGACAAATAGATTTGAACATCAGCATACCGATCCTTACCACAGGAGCAGTGGTGCATCTAGAGTTACTAAAGACGGACCGGATGGAGGCTACCGATAACTCCGGGGGTGAAACACAGAACCTAAATGTTGTAACAGAAATGTTGTCTGTTTGTTTTCAGGCTATTTTAGAAAACACTGCAGAGTCAACACTATGGTATTGCCTTTTGCTATTTAGATTTTTTTAGAGGTTTCCTACATTATGACAGAAAAAAATATATAAATAAATGTCTGCTCACTAAATCTCTTACTCTTCTCTCTTAAATTCATCTGTCCCATTTTATTCAGTAGAGGAACCAGCAGATTAGTAGAAGGGGCCATTACCCCTGCTGCCCAGCTGGGGGCCCCACTAAGCAACATCTATGGTCCAATCCCAATACTCTCACTTCCACCCTTGCGCCCTTCAATTGCGTGATCCTGTCCAGGGATGTGTGTGTAGGGTGTCCCGATTCTCAAGTGTGGAAGATGACCGTTGACACTCCCAATTTGGCACCCTTGAACACCGCGCACTTCCTCCAATACAATTTCCATTCCAAGTGACTGCCCGCCATGTCCATTACTGGTTTAGATGAAAATGTCAGAAACACACCAAGCCAAAGAAAAAAGTGAGGGAAATCAGCATTTGTTGCAACAGATGTTGTGAACATTGATGAAGAAAATGGTGCAGCCCCACAAACGAAGCAACAAAAGTTAGCTTGCATAATCTGCAATACGTGTCCATTTACAACGACCTGAGTCACATGGCCTTGCTGCTATGTCATTGGAACATGCACAAAACATTTGAGCAGCGAATAAAGTTATGGAGAGATATTTATTCCTGTCATACTGTGAGAGAAAGCAGATATTTTAGAGGCATCTGAAACCTGTATGGTTTCTGAGAGTCAGGACTTTGGGAGGAGTTGGAGATAAACTTGGAGAAGAGAAACTAACATTCGGACAAACTGGGAGTGAGACATGCGACAAGATCGGGGATAAAATGAGGACTAATTAAGACACTTTATAACTAAAATGGTAAATGGTCTGTATTTGATATAGCACCTTCTAGAGTCCTGGAACCCCTCAAGGCGCTTTACAACACAACCAGTCATTCACCCATTCACATGCTGGTGGTGATGAGCTACGATGTAGCCATGGCTGCCCTGGGGTGCACTGACAGGGGCGAGGCTGCCGAGCACTGGCGCCACCGGTCCCTCCGACCACCACCAGCAGGCAACGTGGGTTAAGTGTCTTGCCCAAGGACACAGCGACAGACTGAGTGGGGCTCGAACCTGCAACCTTCCGATTACGGGGCGAGCACTTAACTCCTGTGCCACCGTCGACCCCTCAGGCAACATGAACATGTGCTCGAGACTCTTTCTGTGACTGTTCTTTTTTTGTTGTTGTGTATTTCTGATCCACGAAGGTGACACGATTTATTAGGAGTGTAACTACACATCGTAGTGAATCAGTACATCAGAGTCATCGATCCAAAATGCAGGAATACAAAAACTATCAAGCACACTTTTATTTTAGAAAATTGCTTTATTTTGAAGTTTTGCTGATATGCCATTTTCTACCTGTTCCTGCACGTCATCAAATGTGTTAAACGAAGGGGCTAGTGGCGCCATGGCGAGCAGCGAGAAAACAGTTGGTGGAGAGATGATCTCTCTGGGAGATGATAGTGCAGCATCGTTACGTGTCGATCGGTGGATCTTAAATGTAAAAGGAGTTATGACTGAATCTGATCCCAAGGCAAACACTGAAGCTTAATCCACTGTATGAATAATATTTCACGATTAAACTACACGTCACAGTTGGGGCTGATCTCTCTATGAAAGTCCTGACAGAAACATAAACTCTTAGACCGGTAAAGACCGAAGCTTCCAGGGTGCATGAAGAAAGTCGGCGTGTGTGTTGGATTGGCTTCACTCACACCCAGACCAGCTCCCCTCTTGGCATCCTTACAGAGCCGCTTACCCCTCTGGCCCAGCGAGCAGCTGAGCCCTCTGGGTGAGAGATCCATTCAGAGTGGAGGCGGTGGGAGGCTCACCTGCCCTCTAGCACAAGCCCAGTGTGAATGAGATGAGTCGGCGCTGCGTGCATGTGTTCTGTCTGATGCCTCCGCCCGCCGGGACTCCAAATAATAGTGAATGTGCCCGCGGGGAGTTTCCACAGGAGATGTAGTGGGCATCGCTGGTGCCAAGTCACAAAGACTAGACGAATAAATCAGCAGTGAGGAGAGAGGGGAGGTGTACTTGGCTGGGCCATTAATCAGAACAACACCTTATGGGGAATGCCCAGAAAAGTGCTACGCCGCCGGTCTGAAGCGCGTAGTCGCCATGGCAGACGGGCGCTGTTCAGAACGCAGTCTCCATTTTGGATGCTGCAGTGACTCTGGTCACAAAGGGAAGCGACTGCTGCTCTGTTTTAGTCAGCTCATGCTTTAATTAATTTGTCACTGCTCAGTGAAGGATTCTGGGTATTTTTAGTTCTGGTCCCATCCATTTATCCCCCATCAGATCTGGTGATGTTTAAAAAATCTAATATTTCTGCTCAGATGCTCAAAG